ATGGTTTCACCTTTTGCAGTTTTAGTTACCCATGGTCTGAAAGTATTACATGGAAAATTTCAGAAATACACAATTCATAAGTTGCATGCTGTCTGAGTAGCATGATGAAATCTTGCATCGTTCCACTCTGTCCCACCGGGGATGTGAATTATCCCTTTGTCCTGTGTATGCAGCCTGTATAAGCCACCCACCTGCTGGTCTCTCAGTAGCCATTTCCATTATCTGATCGACTATCAAGGAACCCTTATTTTACTTAATAATGGTCCCAAAGTTCAATGGTAATAATGCTGGCAATTTGGATATGCCAAAGAGAAGGTGTGAATTGCTTTAAGAGAAAATGCAAACGTTCTCAAATTAATAAGGAAAGAAAATAATTGTAGGCTGAAGTTGCTAATATCTACGGTAAGAATAAATCTTCTGTTGTAAAATTGTGGAGAAGGAAAAAAAGAAATTCATGCTGGTTTTGCTGTTGCACTTCAAACTGAAAAAATTACAGCCACATGGTGTTTCGTTAAGATGAAAAGGGCATTAAATTCATGGGTGGAAGATATAAAAAGAAAAGTTCTTCCAACTGATGGCAGTGTCTTGAACCAGAAACCATTGAGCCTATACAAAGACTTCAGCAAGGCATCCCTAAAATGAGTGACCACACAGAACTATATATATATTGATTTTAGAGAGGAAGGGAGGGGGAAAGAGACTGAAACATCAATGATGAGAATAACTGATCAGCTGCCTCCTGCATATCCCACACTGAGAACTGAGCCCACAACCCAGGTATGTGCCCTGACCGGGAATTGAACCATAACCTCCTGGTTCATAATCAATGCTCAGTCACTGAGCCACACATCAACCAGGCGACAACACGTAACTTCTATTATAGTACTAGAGGTCCGATGCACGAAATTCATGCACGAGTAGGCCTTCCTTCCCCCAGCTGCTGGCACCGGCTTCCCTCTGGCCGCTGGTAGGCACCTGGGACCTGGGCTTCCCTTGAGCCCTGGCTTCATCGGGAAGGACATTCAGTTTAATTAGCATATTATGCTTTTATTATTACAGATATTGTTATAACTGTTCTAGTTTATTAGTTATTGCTGTTAATCTCTCACTGTGCCTAATTTAGAAACTAAACTTGATGATAGGTGTGTATGTATGTATGTATGTACAGAAAAAAACATAGTATATACAAAGTTCGGTACTATCCAAGGGGGTCTTGGATCATATCCGTCATGGATAAATACATCTGGGGAGAGAAAATTCCTCACTATAGCAGAGCACCTGCAACTCAATTTTCACTGTTTAAGAAAGCCATGTACCAACTGAAGATGAATTTAATTTCATTATAGCTCCAAGTGAAAAAAAATGAGTTCTGTAGTAAAGCTCCTATGTCATTCCTACTTTGTAAAATTAGACATTATCTAGTGAACATAAAAACAAGCAAAGTATGTTCAGAATAATATTAATTTTGCCATTTATTTCAAAAGGCAGACAACTGCACCACATGAGACAAATGGAGCTTTGATATGTAATTTTAAAATACTCCACAAATAGAATGATAGACTTATAGTGAAATAGTCAAATGCTACCAATTCTTATAGGCTAAAAATTCAATTCTCTATTACACAAATGACTCCTGACATACATAAGGGATCTATCTGAAGATCTTTGCATATTCCCAAGTTTATGGTTATGACTACTATTACCTATAGTTTCTTCCACTAACTTTCCATTTTTCTACTTAAGAGCACACCTCACTCTCATTACCTTTATTTCTGTTTTCTCCCTGGGGTAATATTTCACAAAGAAACAAAGTATATGTATGCATATGTACAAACCACTTTATGGCAGTTACCATGTAAATAACAACAAGCAGCAAATATAAAGTTGGAAGTGAGGCTGAAGTATAAGCGTTGCTGTCCAGATAGGCTAGATGTACTCATCAGTCAACTGACTTCCCCAACACCAGCTTCTCAACATGTAACATTCAGGTTTGTATCTTAACAAAACTATATACCATGAATTCTTAGGGTTTGTTAATAGTTAAGAAAGCTAAACTCCAATCTTGAAATGCTGAGAGTCTACTATGTTATCCCATTCACAGATGTTATAATACAACCAGTGTTTAACTGAATCATATGATATTTATTAAATAATATACAAGGTAGGGGCAAAAGTACCTAGGCTTATAGGTGTTCGTATGGAAAATCCTAATATGCTAAGTGTCCAGTCGTCTGGTTGTTCATTCAACCAATCGAAGTGTAATATGCTAATGATACACAAAAGATATTATAATTTTAAAATTTTGCCACATGAAAAGTCCAGGCTGAGATGGATTCACTGATAATTCTACAAAGTATTTAAAGAAGAAATAATACCAAACTTGCACAAACTCCTTCAGCAAATAGAAAGAACCACTATTTCCCTCACACTAAAACCAGACAAAGACATCTCAAGAAAATTAAAGATACTCTTTACCAGCATAATGTAAAAACTTTTAATAAAATAAAATCCAGAAATATATAAAAAGGATACTAAATATATCAAAATAAAGTGGGATTTGTTCTAGAAATCAAGATTTAAAAATATATTTTATTGATTTTTTACAGAGAGGAAGAGAGAGGGATAGAGAGTTAGAAACATCAATGAGAGAGAATCATCGATCAGCTGCCTCTTGCACACCCCCAACTGGGGACGTGCCCGCAACCAAAGTACATGCCCTTGACCGGAATCGAACCCGGGACCTTTCAGTCCATAGACCAACACTCTACCACTGAGCCAAACCGGTTTCGGCTAGAAATCAAGATTTAGTATTTAAAATAATCAACATAGCTAAAATCAGTTTGGCTTAGTGGACAGAGCATCGGCCTGCGGACTGAAGAGTCCTGGGTTCGATTCCGGTCAAGGGCATGTACCTTGGTTGCGGGCACGTCTCCAGTGGGGGGTGTGCAAGAGGCAGCTGATCGATGATTCTCTCTTATTGATGTTTCTAACTCTCTATCCCTCTCTCTTCCTCTCTGTAAAAAAATCAATAAAATATATTAAAAAAAGAAAGAAAGAATCAACATAATTCACCACGTTGCAGCAATAAAGGGAAAGAAAACAATGATCACCTTAGTAGATGCAAAAAAAGATATGAATATTTAGCAAGGAAAAGCCTAGAAGCAACCTCACTAGCAAAAAGCACATCTAGCACTCATATCTGAGCTTCTGAACCACTCTCCAATAAAAATGACCAACGTTACTTGGAGAAGTGGTTGATTCTTGAGTCGAGGAAGGGAAAATACATGACAAACCATGAAAATGTTGTGGTGCCAAATAGTAAAAGAAATGCTCAAAATAGGATGGGGCATGCCAATGAAAAAAGCTAACCCGAAGTAACTTCCCATGGCCAAAGGTGGAACAATCTGAAAATAAAATAATAACAGTGCTGGATTATAATCAACAGGATAAGTATCTATGAGTTCACACTGACAAGTAATTAAATAAAATAAGTAAAGGAGAAAGAACAGTGCTTCTTCATAGAATTATAATTAATAAATGTACAAGAACTGATGGAAACAGAAAATCACTAGTAGGCAAACACCACAGTAATAACTGAGGAAGAAGCAAGATTCACTAATAGATGCTATTAGTGGGAAAAGTTTGAGGAGAGCCCTAGCTGGTTTGGCTCAGTGGCTAGAGTGTTGGCCTGCAGACTGAAGAGTCCCCAGTTCAATTCCAATCAAGGGTACATGCTTGGGTTGCGGGCTTGATCCCCAGTAGGGGGCATGCAGGAGGCAGCCAACCAATGATTCTCTCATCATTTATGTTTCTCTCTCTCTCTTCCTCTCTGAAATCAATAAAAAAAATTAAGTTGAGGAGAAACATAATATTTACACAGTCTCAAATCATCTTCCCCAATATTAATTAGTTAGTTAATTAATTAATTGGAAATAACAGTAATTTTACAGTGAAGAAACCTGGAAGATAATACCTTAACTAACAATCTAGGCTAACATTATCAATACATGTAACGCAAAAATTCTGTTTATGGTGATCTTTATCAAATACAAATGAATTACCAAAGCTATGAATAACTATAAACTACACATACTATAGGAAAGACTGCCCCCTTGTGCCAAATAGTATAAACAGACTAAAGAAGAACACTAAAAACTATCTGACACTAGAAGCACCAGACTTCTAAAAAGGTCTTGATCTTTCCATGTTCTGATTTCAACAGTTTATATTTAAAGTGGTAATCTTTAACCAAAAAATAAACTGGACAGTATATATTAGGCTCATGTGAGCATGTCTTTCAGCAGCAAATATCAACATAATTCATAACATTTAACTATTATGAATACTAGCTGCTCAAGTGCTTAGAGGCTGAGTTCATAGAGATAATTTCCTAATCCTAAATTCTATAACAATATACAGAGAAAATAAAGAAATCAGTACATATCAGAGAAAAAAAATAAATGAAGCAGGGACAGAGCATGTGACTTGCATTAAGATGTGTGTGTGTGTGTGTGTGTGTGTGTGTGTGTGTGTGTAGTTTATCCAGGTCTGTAGGCATTTTCTTTTGAATTCTTAGAAAGTAAGATATTTTCTTTGGATTTGATGGATGACTAATTGCCCATTATAACACTTCTTGACATAGGTAAGTGGTATCAGGCCATTCAAACGTAAGTCATCAGTATTATTACTAATAACCTATAGAAATGGATAAAATTATTAGAGCAATAGATTTGCTAAAGAAAAAATAGGCGATAAAGCACATATTTCTGGTAACAATTAAGAGATGTGAATAAGACTTTTTATATTGACAGCATATCTTTTCTAATTATTGTTGAAAACAGTGCAATTCCATTTTTACACAGGTCAACTAGAAGAATTAAATGAATTAACACTGATAAAAGCGCTTATTATAATAAACACCATAAAAGTTTCTATGTAAGCAAATGATTACTAAGCATGGGAAACTCCAATAATATATGCATACATTCAGTAATACCTACTTTCGAAGGTGCTCATGTTCTTTCAAAAATAGTTCAGTTCTTCTGTTGTTTACTCCAGACCCACTTTTATATGACCTAGAACAAAACAGAGAAAATTAAAGAACATTTTGGCAGATATTGCAAGAAAAAAAAGATCAATGTGACTTAATTCTAGTAATACCCAAAGTGGACAAATTGAGCCTCTACATAGTTTTAAATTAACAATTAAAATGCATATTTCTTTTCATCTCCTCCTAAAAATGAAATTTATTATAAATAAATATTAATGGCTCTAATTTACGCTTAAGAGTTTATTAGTTTTCACCAAAATAATCTAATATTCTTAAACAAATAAAAATCTTACTTTCCTTTGTCTATTATCTCCTATATTTTATTTTCTCCAAGTGTAAAGAAAAGTTGGACTAATATTACACAGCATGTGGGATGGAAGAGCTACTGAAATGGAATGTTTCCTTCCTAATGGTACATGTAGTCCATCAACTGAAGCCTAACGAGCACTAAACTGAAGATAATGATCTGCCGATTTTGGCATACTTAAGGATTTTTATCTTGGTCTTTTTTTTTTTTTTTTAATATTTTTATTGATTTTTTTTACAGAGAGGAGGAGAGAGTTAGAAACATCAATGAGAGAGAATCATTCATTAGCTGCCTCCTGCATACCCCCTACTGGGGATGTGCCCGCAACCAAGGTACATGCCCTTGACCGGAACTGAACCTGGGACCTTTCAGTCCCCAGGCCGACGCTCTATCCACTGAGCCACACCGGTTTCGGCATATCTTGGTCTTAAGCACATTCAAATTTATAAGAAAATGCCTTTTGTCACTACTATCAACACTCTTATGTTTCTGTTCTTTACTCATAAGTATTAAGAACAAAAATAAAAACTTCAAGTAACTGCACATATACTGCAGTAAGACAAAACTGCTAAAACTCATCTTCTGGCTGAGAGGCAGTTAATGAGCAAAGCACAGCAGGAAAGAGAATACCAGGAAAAGCAGAATGTTATAACTGAACACACTGGACTTTAATGAAGGATGGTTTGGATTTAAATCTATATAGCCAGTTAGCGACCTTAGATAAGTCTCCTAATATCTCATTTTATAAAATAGAATAATTGCTATAAATACCAAAAGACTGTATGAAACCCCAAAAAATGATAATTACCAAAAACTTGAAAATGTCATTTATTACCACTATATCTCATCTCACTAACTGTATTCTGCCTCGTATATTAATTTGAGTAAGTGCCTACCTACCTACAAACACTAGAGGGCCAGGTTGGTCTTTTCATTGCTACTTTTTACTGTGACTGGCATAATGTCTTACTCATGGACGGCGATCAGGAAATAGTTTAGATAAATAGATTAACATGTTTCTTTTATGATCATCTCTCAGGAAACAAATTATTAAAATGGGGTGTATTCTAGTCATTTCCACAAATTATGAGGAAGCTAAATGCCTGTATATTAAAGGCTGTTCCCTACACTGGTCTGAAATGCATTTCTTAAGAGGTATATGTAAACAGACTGTTTAGAAATTAAAAGATTTACATGTTCCTAAGAACTAAAAATATTACAAGGCTCCTAATTATGGCAAGAACGTTTACTTTCTTTACACTCCTATATGTTACACAAAGTTTATGTCTAAAAATAAAAAACATAGGTAAAACACAAACAGTAAATTATTTTTCCAAGACAATTTCTGGAGGTAGAAACATAACTTTGATGGCTGAATAATCGCGCGTTAGAGTTTTGAACAAAGTTTTGAATGCAATGAATATTAAATTATTTCTGCTGCAAAACTATCTTACTCTTACAAAATAAAGAATCTTGAGGAAAGTGTTTCTCAGAGTACACATGATTAATTCATCTTATGATGGGTAATGTATATCACAGTTTATGAATCATAAGTAACATACTTATGATATATGAGTATCATAAGCTTATCACAAGTGAGACAATGATAGGCATCAAAAGTGTGAAGTCTTCAGCTTCAATTAGATGCTGAATAGATTCAGCCTTGTTGGATATATTGAGTTATGAAAAAATAAAATAAAAAATGGCCCTGGCAGGTGCTCTCAGTGGTTAGAGTGCTGGCCTCCGGGACAAAGGTTCTTGGGCTTGATTCCCAGTCAAGGACATGTACCTCGGTAGCAGGTTTGATTCCTGCTACCCACTGGGGCAAGTGTGGGAGGCAACAGGTCGAGGTGTCCTCTTACATCAATGCTTCTCTCTCTCTTCCCCCCTTCTCCCTCCCTTTCACTCTCTCTAAAAATTAATGGGAAAAATATCCAAGGGTGATGATTAAAAAAAGAAATGTAAAAAATGTATATGAACTTCTGGAATATATTATTGAATGTGAGGTAAAGGGATGTAAGAAAAGAACAAACCTTTAATGTTATGAATTAAGGTCAGAATGAAAATATTGGAATTCTTTATTTAATTTTTTATTTTTTATTTTTTTTTATTTTATTGATTTTTTACAGAGAGGAAGGGAGAGAGATAGAAAGCTAGAAACGTCGATGAGAGAGAAACATCGACCAGCTGCCTCTTGCACACTTTCAACCCGGGATGTGCCCACAACCAACGTACATGCCCTTGACCGGAATCGAACCTGGGACCTTTCAGTCCGCAGACCGACGCTCAACCACTGAGCCAAACCAGCTATGGCATAATATTGGAATTCTTTAAATAACTTTATATACAGCTATAATTTTAGGAATAAAACAGATATATTTCAGATTCTAGGAAAGTAAAAGCTACTTTAATAGTTTCCTGAATATATAATTGTAGGGATAAGACAGAGGGGTAGGTAGGTCATAATCAGGAAGCAAAACACAGAGAGCTTCAGTTACTGATAATGTTATAATTCTTAAGGTGGGTGGTAGGGGTTAAGAAAATTTTACTCACGAAGATATCATGTAAGCTGGACTTTGAATTAAGACAGGAAAGCCAAGGTTGGCAGGAGGCAATAAAACTAGGGGAAGCTGGGGCTAAGACTAGGAAAGTAGACTCGGACCATTCAAAGAACAGTGAAATAGACATTAGAAACCTTTAAATCTAAACCATGATTCTGCCACTCAGTTTGCTGATAATCATGGATATACCCAAAATATAAATCTGAACAAACATCCTACAAAATAATATAAAAGGTAACTTACTCAATATCCTTTCGTACTGATCCCATGAGATTCTCCCTTTCCCGTATTGCCATAAAGTTTGCTTTGGTTTTATGGAATTCATGTGTATAATCCTGTAATAAATCAATATCCAGTCTCAATATAAACCAATTATATCTTTTAATCTTACTGAGCCAGTATGTATTGTCATATTATAAACTTCTGTTAAGAAAACTACTATTTAAGAAGTCAATCTGCCAAGAGGAAAAAAACTGCATTATAATAACTTTCCTGAAGAATGACTGACTTCTTTTAAATGATGGTGGAGTAAGAGTGCTTAAATCACCGTCCTTCGTATCTTCCCGTATCTTGTCTTAGGAGGCAGAGTTGTAAAACAAAAAGTAATTCTAAGATAAAATGTCCTCCAATAGCCTAGGATAAAACTTGAGGGGCTTTTTCTACTCATTAGTGCACCCAATGGGCTTATTTTAAAATTTCACTCTTTTGGAACTACCACAGAAATTTAATTCTTAAACCAATCAGAGTGAAGAACAGAACCAAGAGTAAAGAACAAAATAAGCTTTAAATGCTTTCTTTTTCTACTAACATATTTTTTAAGTCAGAGAAGTATAAAAAGATGAAAATCAATCCCATTTCCCAGAAAGTCCCTATGACCCTTTAAAAAACAGAAATAATACATGAACATGGAGAGAATACTAGGAGAGCACTGAAAGAAATAAAAGTAGAAACCATCCTGCTCCACAGCTTATAACATTATCATCACTTTAATTTCCTTTCAGGAAATATGTTCTTACATATACAAGCTTATCTAGTTTTCATTTATGTTAAAGAACTCATACTATATCCTTCTGTACAACGCGTTTTGTAGTTCAAAAGTTATCAAGTAATCTTTCCATATTATCAAATATAAATTTATCTATGCCTATCATAATAAAATGACTATTGATGAACATTTTAGTTGTTTTATTTGCTATTAAAAAATGCCACAATAAGCATTCTTGTATATTTATGTTATTGAATTCTCTCCCCCTTATAAAAGTGTATTTAAAGAGTAAATGCCTACCAGAATAATTAGATCAAAGAATCTTACATTTAAATCAGACTGCACCAATTTATGTTCCCAGCAAAATGAATATCAGTTTTCCTATACTCTTGCCAATAATAGGTTACATATGTTCCAATATTTGCTAATCTAACAAGTGAAAAATCCTATCTCATTTTGATTTGGGAATGAAGCTATACATCTTTTTATGGCTTTGGTAATTCATTTTCTATATACAAGTTAATATCCTTTGCCCATTTTCATATTGAACTATTTTTTTTCTTATTTCTATATTTCTCTGTACAGTAAGCAAGTTATTTTTTGTAGTTTTTAATATTAGGTCTTGCTTAGAAAGTCCTTTACTACCCAAAATGGATAAATTCACCCTTGCTTTATTCTGAACTTTCTTTTTCTACATATAAATCTTTTCTCAATCTGGAATTTATTCTGAATGGAAGAAATGAGATAGAATTTGAGGTTTGGTTCCTCCCCACCCCCCAAATAATTAGCCAATAGTTACAGCTCTATTTATTTTACAACCTCTCTTTTTCCCATGGATTTAAAATTCTACGTTTATGGTAAAACTAAATTTCCATGCATATTTGGATCTATAAGTAAACTCTATTCAATTCCATTGATCCCTTTCTAGACTCACACTGTCTTAATTTTTTCTAGCTTCTTCACAGGTTTTAATATCTGGTAGAACTAAGCATCCTTTATTACTTATCTTCATTTTCACATATTTTTTCTTGGCTAATATTGTATGTCTATGATTCCAAATAAACTGGAATCATTTTGCAATTAAAAAAACAAATGAGCTGAAACCGGTTTGGCTCAGTGGTAGAGCATCGGTCTGTGGACTGAAAGGTCCCGGGTTCGATTCCGGTTAAGGGCATGTACGTTGGCTGCGGGCACATCCCCGGTGGGGGATGTGCAAGAGGCGGCTGGTCGATGTTTCTCTCTCATCGACATTTCTGGCACTCTATCTCTCTCCCTTCCTCTCTGTAAAAAATCAATAAAATATTAAAAAAAAGAAAAAAAAAAGAAAAAATCTGTTACTTTCACTGGAAATGCATTCAATTTATAGGATGATTTAGAGAGAAATCTTCCCATCCAAAAGCAGAGTAAATATTTTACATTTCTCAATAGAGTTTTATGCATTCAAATCCTTTACATCTTATTACATTTATACATAAGGATGTTATAATTTCTTCCATTGTATTTTCAAACAGGTTATTGTTTGTATGATGAAAACTACTTGCCTTTATATATTAACTAGAGGCCTGGTGCACGAAATTCATACACTTTGGGGTGGGGTTCTCCTCAGCCTGGCCTGTGCCCTCTTGCAGTCCAAGAGCCCTTGGGGTTTTGTCCGACTGATGGCCTTAGGCCCGCTCCCCGCTGCCGGAGAGGTGGGAGAGGCTCCTGCCGCTGCCTTTGAGTCCGGCTTCTGGCTTCTGGCTGAGCAGCACTCCCCCTGTGGGAGTGCACTGAGAGGCAGCTCCTGCATTGAGTGCCTGCCCCCTGGTGGTCAGTGTGCATTATAGCAATCGTCCATTCTGCCATTTGGTCTATTTGTATATTAACCTTTTATTAGATTGGAGGTGATCTATCATCTCTCTGAATTTGTTCCTAATACATTTTTTTTAGTTTTCTTTGGTTGTATTAGCTATATAATCTCATCACTGCCCATACTACAGATTTTGAATACCACAAAGAACTTCCAAAACAATATTAAACATAGTGGGTATTCTTCTTTTTTTTTTTTCTTTTCCTTTAATGGGAATGTTTTTAGTGCTTTAATATTGAGCATGATGCTAACTTTTAATCTGAAATACACTTTTTTTTTTTTTTGCATTAGGCAACTAAAGTATTCTTCTATTCCTACTTTTAACAAGAGTTTTTTAAATTAGAAATGGTTGCTAAATTTTTTCAATATTAAAAAGATTTTCCCTCCTATTTTATAGTATATATTAACACCCCATACATAAATATTTCAAGAGTTTATTTCATTTGTTGTTACACTTTTAGTATTTTCTCAAACAATATTCTAAATATAGTAAATTATTCCTCCTCCATGTTACCTTTGAAGGCTAATGAAAGTATACTCTAAACCACATTATTGCCGATGCATGATCATTGGCTGTTTCACTGTTTCAATTAGCTATCAAGGTTTCCCATGGTTTATTTACCTACTGATGAATAGTATTCAATTTTATTAGGAAAAAGCAAGAGTTCTTAGATATCAGACATTTTCAGAATTTTATATTACCAAGAAAAAAAATAAAACAAGACAAACTTCTATAGCATGGCATTTATCCTCTCAGAGGATTTCCCCGTGTTCTCTTAAATACATGTGCACACAATCTATTCAGGGATTAAAATAAACCCTATAACAACATAAAACCCTCAAGCCCAGAGGATTACCTGCAATATGTCTCTATGTCGCTGTAATGTGTGCATCAGTGCTGCATTCAGGGAGGGGACACCTGCACTATTGGTATATTCTGCCATTTTATCATTCACTCCTGTAAGCTAAAAAAAAAAAAAAAGAGAGAGAGAGAGAGAGAAGAGAAAGGGGAAAATATATATTTTAAAAAGCACTATAAAGAGATAAAAGAAATTATTTGTATGTTTGCCCTTTGGCTTACAGCAACAAATAAACCAAAAACAAGAAGCTAGTATGCAAGTATTCAGTACTTCCACCAAGTAATACATAACAGTTAAACAAACAAACAAACAAACACACACACACACACTCTCAGGGGACCTGAAAATAGCTGTGATCAAAATTCAAGTGGCTTAGGAAGCACACACGTTGAATGAAAAGGTGGTGACTTCAATAAATGTCTGTGTTAATATAATCTAGTACCATATCTAACAAATACACAATTATTAGCAAAAAAGCCATTGACAGAAGTCCTTACCCTTGCCAAAAGCTGTTCAATCTCAATTGCCATTGTTTCAAACATTCTGTCTTGGCTTGATCCATTTAAAAGAGGTGTTGTGTCAGAGCTAAAGAGAAATTCAAATAAAGAGAATCCATTACTTAAAACTAAAACATCCTTAAAATAATAAGGTAATTATTCTTAAAGAGGTTAAGTATAATCCCTAAGCCATTCTTTCTGTTTCTTAAGAAACTAATTTTTTTAAAAAGAAAAAAAACCACACACCTTTTTATTTGGAAATAATTTCAAATGTATAAAAATTTGAAAAATTAAAACAGTAACATGAGAAGAAAACCCACATAGATTTATCTTATCCCATATATCACTTGCTCTCTCTGAATCATAACATGGTTTTTTACCTTTAATTCTTAGGGTGTATATTCTAAGAATCAAGATACTCTCTTACATCACTACAGTATAGTTAACTTTGTCAGCTTATACTGGTACACTTTTATTTAACCTGCTGTCAGTAGTCCCAATAGAGTCATTTATAGCTTTCTTCCCTTCCAGTTTAGGAGTCAATCTAGGGTCAGCTATTGCATTCAGTTGTCATGTCGCCATAGCTCTTTAATCAGGAACATTTCAACAGTCATTTTGGGGAGGGGGGCATTTAATGTATTAGCATTTGTTTAAAATAAAGTTCCTCATTATTGTTCATTTGATATTTCCTTGTGAGTAGACTGAGGTTATGCATTCTCTGCTAGAATACTGCATAGGTAATATTATAGTCTTTTTAGAGTATTATATCTAGAAGTGTAATTTATATGCAGAAAAATACAAGAATCACAAGAGTATAACTTAATGCCTTTTTTTATATATTCATATTCCCATATACCCAACAATGTAAAAATCAAGAATATTTCCATCGACTTAGGAAGTTTTCTTTTTTTAAAATATATTTTATTGATTTTTTACAGAGAGGAAGAGAGAGGGATAGAGAACTAGAAACATCGATGAGAGAGAATCATCGATCAGCTGCCTCTTGCACACCCCTTACTGGGGATGTGCCCGCAACCAAGACACATGCCCTTGCCCAGAATCGAACCGGGACCTTTAAGTCCGCAGGCCGATGCTCTATCCACTGAGCCAAACCGGTTTCGGCTCAAGAAGTTTTCTTGTGCCTCTTCCCAGTCAATGGCCACCCCAAGGAAACCATTCTTCTTCTTCTATCTCTATAGATTAGCTTTTCATATTTACAATTTTTTAAAACTGATTTTTAGGAGAAGGAGGGAAAGAGAAGCATCGATGTGAGAGAAGGACATTGATAGGTTGCCTCCTTTACATGCCCCAACTGGACCAAGCCTGCAACCTAGATACAGCATGTGCCTCGACCAGGAATCAAACCTTTCCTGGTGCAGGGGATGCTGCTCCAAACAACTGAGCCCCGGCCATGGCTCCAGCTCTTTATTATGTGTCAGAGCCAAGCCAAGGTTCTGTAGTTGTATCTTAAAATGTGCCTGGACAGAACTTCTCCATATGCTACAAACACAAATCCTCCCCTACAGGACATATGAAAAAGAAAAACTGGTCAATGAATGTAAGCTCTATGAGAAGGGAAAATGTCTGTGTCTCATTCATCTATATATCTAGCTCCTAAAATTCTGCTTGGCACATGGTAGGCGATTAATAGATGCTTGTTGAATAAATGAGGAGGCAAATCTCTACATTCACCACTCTCAGAACATGTGAGTCCAGGGAAATGGTCAAAAACTCATTCTCCACAATACTAAAATTCAGTTAAATTTAATTCATTTTATAGGTATGTGATGATTCATAGGCCAGTAAGTTCTTCAAATACAGAAACTAAAAAATTGCTCATCACTGAATTTATTCATCATGACATGCTTTCAACCTGAGCAACAAACAAAACACTTCAGAATGCAATTTGAAAAAAAAAGAAAAAGAAAAAAAGAATGCAGAGTGGATCTTGCTCCTCATGGCCTTAAGTTTCTTATCGAAGGGGACAGTTAGGCTGAAGTAATTCCACAAAGTTGGTCCCAGTTTTGTTGCAGAATTTCTCTAGGAATGTTTTCAAGATAGTTTTTCCTTTAAAGGAGTCACAAAAGTATTAAGTCCATGAAGCATAGAAAACATAGAAAAATTATCATGTAATTGTATCTCTTAACTATGTGGAGTTTTAAAATTACTAGTATATAATCACTGGCATAGCCAAGTGGGAGACTTAAATTCAGGAAATATGCTTAATATATACAAAGGAACATTCCTCATTCTTTTACTTGCTAAGTAAAGGTGAGTCCAAAGCAATGCAGTGCAATTAAAGCTGTGTGTGACATGCCAATAGCTTATTTTTCGATCCTACAGTCAATATGGCCCTGCTATCTTTAATTCTTTAATAATGTGCCCTATTAAAAAGAAACAACAAGGGGAATATCAGGGACATCTGTAACACTGTCAACAATTATATATGTGTGTGTGTGTGTGTGTGTGTGTGTGTGTGTGTGTATGTATATGTATACATACATATATATGTATATGTATATATATATAATTAAAAAGGAAGCAATAGTTTGGCTATAGTTCTGGAATGAGTCTTTTGTTGGAATGTGCATAGAAAGTTTTAGAGAATGGGGATAGAAAGACCTGGGTACAAATCCAAGGTCAGTTTGCATTATTATTAGTTGAGAAAAATATTGCACCCGTGACCAATCCTCACAAAAGCATGTAAAATAGAGAACATAACAACTAACAACTCTGCTACCTGCAATTCCACTGGGAGATACATAAAAACATTTTTATAGATAAAAAAATGTTCCCATCAATCTTTAAAAATTTAAATATATTTTTATTGAAATCAGAGAGGAAGGGAAAGGGAGAGAAAGATAGGAACATCAATAAGAGAGAATCATTGATTGGTTGCCTCCTGCACATCCCACACTGGGGATCGTGCCCACAACCCAGGCATGTGCCCTGACTGGGAATCAAACCCTGACCTCCTGGTTCAGAGGCCGATGATCAACCACTGAGCCACTGCGGCTGGGCCCCAGCAGTCTTTATATAAAGTTCTTATAATAGTAGTTGACATATGATAAACACCAGCAGACTTTATATAAAGTTCTTATAATAGCAGTTGACATATGATAAACACTCTTTGTCAGCTATTAAAATTACTATTAATTAGCAAAAGTTGGACACAATGTTCGTCTACAGCAGGCGTCTTCAAACTACGGCCCGCGGGCCACATGCGGCCCGCAGAGGAGTCTGATCCGGCCCGCCAGGTTTTTTGGGCAGTGAGCGCAGCCGAGGTGTTACAGTAGGAATTAGTAGTTCATATAGTCCGGCCCTCCAGCTCTCTGAGGGACCGTGATCTGGCCCCCACTTTAAAAAGTTTGAGGACCCCTGGTAGAATAAATTGTGATACAATAATATAATGTAATATTATACACCAAGTTAAATGTATTCATAGCTTAATCTCAAAGATAATGTTAAACCAAAAAGCAAGTTGCAAAATAACTTTGGTAGGATATTATGAATTGTTTAGAAAGACAAACAAATACTATAAAATATATATGGAGATTACGAAGATGAAAAAAATGAATGCCAGCAGGGGCTTAACTGAATTGGTAAAGATTATTTCTTAAAGTGGGAGATAAGAACATGAGAATCAAATATATTATTCTTTATACTTTTCTACATGTCTGAAATATTTCCTAATATTTTTGAAACAAGTGAGCAAAAGATTCAAAGATAAGAATACATTTTCCAGGCCGAAACCGGTTTGGCTCGGTGGATAGAACGTCGGCCTGCGGACTGAAGGGTCCCAGGTTCGATTCCAGTCAGGGGCATGTACCTTGGTTGTGGGCACATCCCCAGTGTGGGGTGTGCAGGAGGCAGCTGATGGATGTTTCTCTCTCATTGATGTTTCTGGCTCTCTATCCCTCTCCCTCCCTCTCTGTAAAAAATCAATGAAATATATTAAAAAAAAAAAAAAAGAATACATTTTCCAACAGAACCATCATATGACCCATCAGTTCTTCTTCTGGGTATTTATCTGAAGACTATGAAAACACTAATTTAAAAAGATATATGCACCCCTATATTACTGCAGCATTATTTACAGTAGCCTAGGTATGGAAATAATCTAAGTATCCATCAATGAATGAATGGGTTCAGCCATGAAAAAGATGAACTACTGCCATTTGTGACAACACGGACGGACCTCGAGGATATTGTGCTAAGACAGACTGAAAAGGACAAAAACCGTATGATTTCACTCATATATAAAATACAAAAACAAACAAAATAAACTCATAGATACAGACAAAAGATGGGCAGTTATCAGAGGGAAAGGAGACTAGGAGGAGGGCAAACGTGAGTAAAGAGGGTCAAATGTAGTGACAGATGGAAACTAGGCTTTTGGTGGTGAACACACTACAGTGCACACAGATGTCCGATTGCGATGTTGTACACCTGCAACTTATATTATGTTATTACCAATGTTACCTTAATTAAAAAAACACAGTTTCTATACACTCAATATAGTAATCTACTGGTTTCTCATGAAAGAACCAAAATTAAAAATAGCTTAGATGATTAATAAGGAGGATATACACTGCATTATATTCATTCTAAAATGCCAGAATAGCAGTATATGCACTTGGCATGTGGGTAGTTCCTCCCATCCATTTAGCAATCAGAGAAGATATAAAAATACAATATGGACAAATCAATTACGTTTTCTTAAACTGATTGACCTAGAAACTTATTTCTGACACTAGCTCATTCGTAAGCCTTAGCCTTTTCCTACTGACACTGTCACAATCTTTGACTAAGAATCCCAAATAAATACTAGTTCAAGAATTAAGAATTTTTATGTCACTGAAACAAAAACAAACAATAACATAAAAATAAAATACAAAAAAAATTCACCAACAGAACAAATTACAGAGTTATATTTTAGTTTATTTTTTAATGCTTTAAAAACATTATACAGTTGAAGGCATAAGAGAGAGAATCTGGTAGTACCTATACCTGTCGCGTCTTCCATCTCGGGCGCTGCTGTGACTGTAACTCGTGCACAGTTTACTGAAGGAAACTAGTTTCAGGTCAAGTTCATTTTCCAGCTGTCGAGCCTGTTTCCTGAGATCTTTAACAAAATTATAAAAGCAAATAATTCAGACACAAAAAGTCCATCAATAGACATAAAATTCACAAAGCTATTCTGAAGAATACAAACTATGAAAATGATAATATATTGATCTACAGTAGATTCAATTTTTAAAAAGTTTTAAAAGGAAGAAACTAAAGAAGTACCCAGCAAAGCAAACTGTCACTTATTTTAAACTTCAGGCGGGGCAAAAAGGCAGGGGGAGACGCAAATTTTCGGCTTTATCCAAAAGACAACTAGACAACAAATGCTGTTCTAACCCCCCTGAAATTATTTATATAGCAACAAATAAATTCCGTAAGTCAGGGGAAAACAAAAGAAAACACGAATCACAAAGAAACTGACTGCGGTTTATGGCCAACGTTATATTAATTTACCATTTAACTTTATAGAAAAGAAACCATCACTGTTTTTTGACAGAGATGTCCCTATCTCTTTGTATCCCAAACCTTTATTAGGCTCATGAAATTCTTAATAGTACAATAGAATGACTGAAGTGATTGAGCATTAAGAACAATATAATCATTGACAAAGATGTAAACCACTGTCTTTCGATAAAGCTTACTCAAATTTGGAGAGGCTGGAATTAACAATGACAATGAGCTACTAACAAGGTCAAGGGTAAGTGTAACAAAACGAACAGCATAAGTTTTAACACAACAGAAACAAGCAAGCAAGCAGAGAAATTGGTTTGGCGTCAGAGTGGTTGAGTGAGAGAAGCAGCAGTCCCAACACCCCCGTCCTGTTATGAGTAACCTCATTCATGGTGACGGGGAGGTCAAAATGAAAAGGGCTGGAACATAGGAAGACTCGTGTAAGGACCTCCTCTTTCAGTACACAGGAATACAAACTATTATTTCATTATACTCATCAGCAACCAGAAGTAGGGAGCCGTGTAATACAGGGGAGCATATTTTCCCAGAAACCGAATCTCAGTTGGAACCTCAGCTCAGCCTAAAAGTTCTGAGATTCTGAGAGCTGGCTCTGAGGTTTACTGACAATCGACTTAACCTGTAAGCCTCCGGTTTCCGTTTTTGTATGACAGGGGTTTTCTGTGCATTAGAAATCCTGTATTGAAAGCACCTGGCACAGAGCAGGTTGTCAGTAACAAGCTGCTACACTGATGACAGCACAAGTGCTTCAAAAACCACAGCCCCGTGACGAGTATTCAAGACGCCAACAGCCACTTCTATTACATTCAAAAAAGTATTTCCGAGCCAGTGCGCACATTCCAAACAGTCCTTTTAAATGCGTTTGAAACGATCGGCCCGCCTCTCTCTAATTAGCCACCGTCTTCTCCCGTAGAAAACAGCAAGGAAGAGCATTTGGAAAGGACGACAGGTCCGTAGGCAAGAACTTAGAATTATGTGTCTTAGACCCAGTGGCTGACAGGGACAATCCTGCTGCGTGTGGAGGCTTCCAGAGGCTTCAGGGGTAGGTAGGATTAGGAAATAGGTTAAAGGGGGGGGGGGGGGGGGGGAATAGTAATTCAGAGAGCAGTCTCTAGGTTGCAGTAAAGCAAACACTTGAAGAAAGAAAAAAAGGGAGCCTTCTCTGTGTTACCATCACTGAGATCCGGGAAATGACTTTTACACGAGTCCACTGTAATCCAACCACATTTTCAGGAACCAAAGAAACGTACTTGTCAAATCACAAGACAGTGGGTTTTTGTTTGGTTGGTTGTTTTGTGTGTGTGTGTGTGTGTGTGTGTGTGTGTGTTTTCTTTTCCTTTTTTTGTAGAATAGGTTATCACAAATGCAATCACTGCAATTCACGCAGGTTCTCCCCACTTTCTCTGTTTAACAAAACGGGTCTCGGAGGGAATGGGCCCAGTTATTTCCTCCGCCAACCAACGGACTCGACCTCCGCGCCCCAGCCCGGAGCAGCCAGGGGCCCCGCAGGAGGAGACCCTCCGCTCACACAGCTTCCCCGGGACGCGCCGGGCCCGAGTGCCTCCTCCTCCTCTCCCACCAGCTGTCCAAGGCGCCGCTCCAGGGTCCCGGCCGCGGGATGCCCTCGCCCAACACTCGTTTCCTTCCCGATCCCAGAGCTCACACTACAGCCCCTTGGTCCGGGTTCCGCCTGGCTCTCCGCCTAGCTCTCCTCCGGCCACCCAGCCCCGTCTCCCTCCCCATCCCGGCTCAGCCCTCCGGGTGGGAGGGACCCCAGCCCAGGGCCCCGCTGCCTCTCGGGTCAGCAGCCCCCTGCCCGGGCGGTTCCTCCTCCTCAGTCCCGAGGCCCCGAGGCTCCCCCTGGACGCCCTACCCCTCCGCCCGGCCGTCCGGAGGCCAGGCTGTTCCCTCTGCTGCCACCCCCAACACCCGATCCCCTCTCAGTCCCCCCGCCCCCAGGCGAGGTCCGGCAGGAGGCCTCGCCCTTACCTTCCCAGTAATTGCTTGTTCCCGCCGCCATCTTTGTTGTCCGACGTCAGCCGGGGGACGAGAGTCCGGGCGCTGCGGGCCAGAGCGTCGCCTCCGCGCCTCCTTCCGCCCTGGCGCCAGGGCCGCCGGGATACATGAGCTTCCGCAGACAGCGCCACCTGGCGGCCAGTGGGTCACTATACACCTTTGGAGGGGCGCGACTGAGACATCTCATCAGCTCGGCACTGGACACTCCTGTTTTTCTGATGCTCATAGCGGTTCTCTGCGCTCCACGGTTTCCTCATCGCGCCATCGCCCTCTGCTCGGTCCATCCTCTCTCTCGGCAGGACCTACCTGGCTGAGAAGAACGTCATCCTCGGACACAGCTCCCTGTTTGCCCCACCTTCTCGCCATGTACATCTCCAGCTGGCCTCTTTCCCTTCTCAGAGCCAGAGGCCCCTTTCTTCCCAAGACTAATCCCTTCATCCAATCTGCCCCTCTCCCCCCAATCCCCCCCTCTTCCCTCGCGGTGCTCCATGATCCCGGGACTTCTGACCTTCGTGCCCTTCTGCACGGGTCGCCTTCCCTTCTGTCCGCAGTAGTTCCAATCCCAGCCCTCTTTCCTTGCCAGACACCAAATCTAGCAAGTGTGTGCTACCTGCTTCCACGTGTGTCCTCCTGACTCCACTCTTCTCCTGGAACTCCAATGACATGGATACTAGATCTTTTGTTAAGGTCTTACGTATCTTTGAGGGCCTACTAATTTTTTTTTTTCTTTTCTACTTTCTGTTGTTCATTTTGGATCATTTGTACTGTTTTGTCCTCCTACTCACACATGGATGCCTCTCCTCTGTCCCCTCTCCTCTGTCCCCTCTATTCTGCTGTTGAGCCTAGTCACTGAGTTTTTGTAAATTATTGTATTTTCCAGCCCTGGCCTTTTTGGCTCAGTGGATAGAGCGTCAGCCTGCGGACTGAAAGGTCCCAGATTTGATTCCAGTCACATGCCGGGATGCAGGCTCAATCCCAGGAGGGGGCGTGCAGGAGGCAGCTGATCAATGATTCTCATCATTGATGTTTCGCTCCCTCTCCTTTCCTCTCTGAAATCAATAGACATTTTTTTAAATTATTGTATTTTTCAGATCTAAAATTTCCATTTGGTCCCTCATTATATAGTCTGTTTCTTTGATAGACTATCATTTTTTTTCTAAGTTTATTTGTAATTGCTCATTAAAATATTTTTATTATATCCTTGTCAGATAATTCCAAAATCTGTGGCATCACGATGCTGGCATCCATTGTCTTTTTTCATTCAAATGGAAATTTTCTGGGCTCTTGGTGTAATGAGTGATTTTAAGGATGGTATCCTAAATATTTTAGGTATTCTAAGACTCTGCATCTTATTCAGATCTCCGTTTAAGCAGAACTTCTATGAAGATGTGCTGGCAGGGGAGGTGGGGAACTTTCTTGTTCCTGTCGCGGGGAGTGGCAGTGCAGGCTCTCCCTTGGCCTCTTGATACCTTGTTGCTGCATTACCGCTGTGCAGGGTGGAAGTCCTGGCTCCTCTCTGGGCCTTCTCTGACACCACCCAGAAGGTGGGGAGGGTGGCTTCCTTACAGCCGGGTGAGCATGGCGTGTAGGCTTCCCGCTCAGCCTTTGCTGGCAGTGGATAGAGACGGGACTCCCTTTTTTTCTGAGCCTTTGGCTTGAGTAGTGCAATTATTGTCTAAAACTATTGTCTTGATCTTGATAGGCCCCCCCTTTCCTGGTTCTTTGGCCAAGGAAGACTTTTCTTTGGGTTTCTACCCCCCGCCCATTCCCTTGGGCATTTCTGGGTTGCCAGTTTCTCTAGTGCCCATTATGGAATATGAGGCAACACCCACTATGGGATTTTAAGGCAGAAAGATAACCCAGGAAACTTACAATGTGTTGTTTCTTAGATCCTGATGTCCCTATCTGTTCTGCCTCCTCCTTCCACCATTCTGAGATTTAGTGTTTGCTTTATATATAATGCACGAGGGTGGTTTTTTGTTTGTTTTTTGCTATGCTTAGTGGAAGAGAAATACATACATCTACTACATCTTGTACAGAACCAAAACGCATTTTGGTTCTTTTTATTTGCTAAAATTCTTCATATTGCCTTCTACTTTCTTATATTCATCACCATTATTTTAAAGTTTCTGACTGAAATGAAAGTCTGTAACTCCCATGGGACTATTCTTTTTTTTCTTTTCTTCTTGACCTTTCATTATTTGATGTTATCTTTTGATAACAACAGTTAACTTTTGATTGGATGTTGCATATTATAGGTTAGCATGTGTACCCATCATGTGAGGCTTCAGAGGACATCTTCTTCCTCCAGAGACAGTTGTCTGCAACTTCTTGCAGAAGGTAGGATCCTATCAGATTACTCTAGTAAGGAGTGGGACCAAGTATCTTTGTTCAAATTGGTCTGTTTCTGATGAGCCCTTACTTCCAATGACCAGTGCCCTCTTCCTTACTAGGTGCAGAGCAAGTATTTCCCCCAACCCACTGACACTGCCTACAGCTTCTGCTCGTGCCCTCTGCCTCCTGCCTAGCCTCTCTGCTGCTGGTGTCTCTCCGTCACCACCTAACAGTCAACAAAACCTCCAGGTGAAAACTTTTACTGTTATATTCACTCCTGAACTCCCTTTGCATCGAGACCCCCATCAGTCCTTGTTACCTTAGTAGCTCTCGAATCCTTCAAACAGCTTAAAAATAAAATGGTGCCCCGTGGGTGTCTAGGCAGTGTTCTCACCCTCCTGTCCTCAAACTTCTTCCAGGCTGGCCTCTACTCTGGAACACCTTTCGACTCCAACTCTTGCTTGCCCTGTTTACATTTGTTTACGCAGCAATAAGAAGTAAGATCCCATCTAACTCCAGCCAAAATGCCAACAAAATAACATGCTTTCTTTTAACATTCTACTGATTAATGTAAGGTGGAAGTTATAATATTAAAGTTAACATTGGGCTTTATATGCGGATTTGCTTTTAAATTTTGGTTAGTAATTGACTTTGAGGTATGCAATAAATACCATGGAATCATTGGCATTTGAACTGTGAGAATAAGAGATGAAGATCTACATGATGGTGTTTATTCATAACTGAGTAGGTATTAGCATGGAGCATTCATGTTGGCTGAAAACAATCAGCTTCTAGAAATCTGGAAAACTGAACATAATCAGATTACTGTTCCTGACATACTAAATCAAAAGGGTCTTGATTCAGTTATGAGAAAACTCCTGACAAAAATTCAGGAAAATGTTTCAAACAGTAGGGGACAAAGAAACACCATCACTGTTCAGACTTCTTGCAGCAGTTAAGACTGCTTTCACCAAATAAGCAAACATACAATCTGATTTTATTTATAAACAAGTTAAAGGCCCAGTGCACGATATTCATGCACTGGGGCAGAAAGGGTAACCTCAGCCTGGCCTGTGCCCTCTCACAGTCCGGGAGCGTTCTGGGGATGTCCGTTTGACGGCTTAGGCTCCCACCACCACTGCTGTGCTTGCCAGCCTTGAGCCTGGCTTCTGACTGAGCAGTGCTCCCTTGTGGAAGCACATTAACCACCAGGGGGCAGCTCTTGCATTGAGTGTGTGCTCCCTGGTGGTCAGTGGACATCATAGTGACCAGCTGTTCTGCCATTTGGTAGATTTGCATATTAGCTATATAGGATATAAAGCATTTGGCCCAAATTTATAAACTTTACTGTCATGCTAGATAATCTATGGAATCACACAATGGAAAAATGTCAGTTTTTTTTTTCTTTTAATATTCATGTCTAGAGATTTCTTCTAAATTAAGAAAGACTACCTGTTATACATACCTTGTTCATTTGATAAAATAACTCTCTCAAAGGGATCAGTAACAACAAATGATGCTGTTACCAAGTCATTCAATTCTGAGTAAAATGTTATGTTGAGCCCTTTGCTAACATTATTTCACTTAGTTCCCATTACAATCCTTAACCAGTACAGAGACTGAGACAGAGATGGTTAAGAAACTTTTACAAAACAGTCTCAAGAGAGCAAGTAGCAGAACCACGAATCAATCATAGATTGACTCAGCTCCAAAGTCCATGCTCAAATCGCTGTGCGCTCCTTCTAGAGCAGACTCCCTTTTTAGAGAACCACTCCCTACAGAAATATAGCTTATTTCCTTCTCTATTTTTCTGGTTTGGACTATGATTGTCAGCAGGGCCCATATTTCTTCTATAACTTTGCATTCCCAATTCTTATTAGAGCAGCAGTATCAACAAAATGAATTCATCGCCACTATGCAGAGAAATGCCAGGGCAAGTTATTTAACTGAGCGCTTCTATAAAAAGGGTCACATTTTTAACAAACAAGTTTAAAATGGGTACACAAACTTTTCAATGGCCAGTTTTCTGGTGTTCATTGTGGAATGATTGAGCTGAACTACAAACAGAAAGGAGAAATGTGGCTACTATATGATGTAATTATTTCAGAAAGATGGGTTTTCTTATGAGTCAAGTTGAGGCGGACATACAGGTAACTCTCCTGTATTTCTGGCCTAGTACTATTTCCCCCCTAGTATAGGTAGAAAAACTAAGTATAAACTTTCAAACTGAAACATTAACTCTTTCTGGCCTATTGCTTTTGAGAAGAGATTATGAGACAAAACACAAAGACAAACATCATAAAATAACTTTTATACAGGATTAGATCTGTTTACATATAAAAAACAGAAAGGACCTCATTACAGTTAAATTTCACATAAATTACACAAATTGACTTTTTAAAACTACGATTCAACTTTGTTTAAAATCCCTTTTAAAATTTTTGTTTTGAAGGCACAGTGCATGAAATAAACAAAGACTGAAGCACTTGAGATGGATGAGTGTTAGGCACCTCATATCAATAGCTATAGATTTTTCTGGAGCTGGGAATGTCACTGAAAAAAAATGGAGAGGTGAAAAACTGATTTTTAATCTAAACATAAAAAAATACCATGTCATACCTCCATAAAATTTGCAGCATGGCCAGCACAGAATGCAGTTAGTATATTCACGTTATGCCATTTATAAAAATAATCATACTTATTACATAATTTATGTCCAATGGCCTCAAAATGGTAGCCTACTTTCAAATGTCATAATATATTCTGTCAAAACAAAATCAAACAAGGATGATA